AGGATTGCGAGAGGGCAGTTCTCAGGTGATGCACCCTGGAATCAGGCTCCCTCCTCTCTGGTTCCAGGTGTGTCACCCAAGAACCACAGCTACCAAATCACCACAGCTCGGCAGCTCCTGTGTTGAGTGTTTGTCCCCTGGTGGCCAGTGTGCGTCATAGCTACCAGTTGGACAGTCGAATGGTCGGACGGTTGCTTAGGCTTTTATATATATAGATATGCATAACCCATGGACACAGACAATAGAGTGGTGAAGGCCTGGGAGGGGTGAGTACATGTTGGAAGAGGTCAATGGGGGGGGGGGAGACACACATAACACAAACAAAGGGGACATCCATAATCTTTCAACAATAAAGATAAATTGGAAAAAAAAAAAGAAGAAGAAAGCAAGCATTTTCTTCTGCTTTTTCCACATTTGCACTTTGGCGCTGGGTCCCACACATGTAGCCAACACTGGTGAGAGAGATAGCTAATGACTGTGCAAGGTGTGAGCTGGCCTGATGCTTGAATACAGCAGGGAGTAAGGGTGAACAGCAAATCCACGGGTGAAGAGCAAATATAAAGGCCAGAGCTAGGCAATGAGACACAGGTTTGAAGCAGGGGAGAGGAGAGGAAGACAAGGAAGTTAAAGTCAAGATGTATGCATGGCAAGGGTAATCTAAATCCAAATTTAAATAGTGGCTGGCGCTTCAATCTTGTTTATACATGGGTGAGGGTCCATCTGACTCATATGGCCAAAAATGAGGCTGAGCAGTGTTGACTATGTTCTAAGCCCATGTTAGTCCCTGAGAGGGGGAAATAAAGGCAGTTACACATTTAGCTGACGCTGAGTTTGTCTTTTAGCCTTCCTATATGACGGAAAGAACTACCATAATGAAAATTCAGTTATCTGTTATGCATTTAATGTGAATGTAACTATTGAAAAGAATGACTGCCATTTCTTATAACATTCTTTTTTTAAAAAAATGTATTATAATCTACAGGGGAGAAAGAAAAACTTTTACTTTCTCTCTTAAGTTTGGCGTCTTCAGATATCTATATGGGGATACTGATACGGGCTATTGCTCCTGCTCGGGAAGGCGGGAACCAGGCAGCAAATTCTGCCCATTTGGGATGCCATAACCTTCCAGCACGTCTTGCTCGGCGCCTCTGAAGTTGTGCTGAGTTGGAAAGAGGCGCAAACAATCGTCAGCCCTCTGCTTATTTTTTAACAAGGTGGAATTTAATTAAACACAATTTGTGCTCTTAATTTATTCCTCTGGAGCCTTTATAGGCTCAGAGTTACTACTGCTAACTACAGCTTAGAGAGAGGAAAGTTTTTAACTATACTTTGAAACAGAAGCTACTAATCAGGTGGCAGGGGAAGCAGGGAGCAAGCTTGGAAGGAAGGAACATCTGGCTTGTCTGACATCTGACATTTTTGTTTACTTAACAAACGCCCCTATAGTGCTTACTGTGGTGTCAGGCACTGTTCCAGGTGCCTTACGAACACTAATTAATTCAGTGCTCATAACAATCAGGGCTGACTTATCCAGGAGGCATGGTGCCGAGGACTGTGGAAAACAAGTTTTAATTTCTTTAAAGTCAAGAGAAAAAAATTAATATAATAACAATGACTATATAATAAGGAACTCATCCTGGACTATATTTGTCTTTATACCAGTGTGGCAAATTTTTAATATTATTTAAGGAAGAAGGGGCCCATAAAGGTAAATGTTTATAGGGCCACAAAAATCATAATATAGTTCCAATACCAACTGTACTTTTATGTTAATTTTACAGATGAGAGGACCCACACACACTTATACTAGTAGCTGACAGAGCTGAGACTCAAGGAAGGCAATCTGCTTCTGGCTCCACAGAACACTGTGTTGAGCTGTGCTGACGTGCTCATCAATGAAGTATTTCACATGAATTTTCTAGGTAGCTAACAAATTAGCACTCCACAAAACCAAAATGCTTTGTTTTAATAATTTTGGAAGAAGGTCTTTCCTACATTTGTTATTTACCTCCTGCCTTATTAGATTAGCCTGAGCATAATCTACTCTTTTTCATGATGATAACAGTATCCTTATCCATAGACAATCTTACTGAGTATTTTTATATGCCTGGAACCCTTCTAAGATTTACTTTATAAGTGCTAACTCTTTGACTCCTCACAACTCTATGAGGCGTATAGATTTATTCTTTTAGATGAGGAAACCCAAGTTAAGTTAAGTCTAAGTTCACCCAACCACTTGAGAGCAATGGAACCCAGCATCCTGGCTCTGAGTGGCCCCTGTCAACCAGGATGAGTGGGAGCTTTGTTGTGCATACAGAGTGATGCTCTCCGGAGCTTTATTCCTACCCTTGCATCTTCAAACCAAGATGTTATTTTAAGTCTGTGTCAACCCTTCAGGGTGTATGTCTTCTCTGTCCTTGTCAGGCAGATGACTGATAGTTTTAGCTGTGTTTTGTTTCCAGTTTGTACTCACATTTATCACTTGATAAATTAATGAAGGGCCTATGAGGGACCATGTTTATTTGCTGCTTCCAAATCACTTTAATGAAGAACCAGAGAGCCCATCGTCTTAGTGTTGTGTGTCAGGTAGATTAACGTGTGCTGTGTGGAGGGAGAGGTGCCCTGTAAACAGCCTTGTGATCCCTACTGCCTGGCTTTGTGAGGGTGATTTTGGATGCTTTGAGGACTTTTGTTGGTTAATGTTCATTTATTTCTTATTTTTCAGCTAAGTTTTCAATGGTGAATGCTGAGTAGTGGCGTGGCAGATATTATTACATGTAAGGGGAAAATACTACTTGGCATGATACCTTAATCAAGCAAGTGGTTTGACAGAATTCATTTGCCAGGTAACTGCACTATCTTTGTGGTGTTTATTGAATGGTGTTACATATGATTTAACTGGAAAGTAAGACTCCATTGGGCTATTCTGACTCCTTTATGGCTCAATCTTGAATGCTAGGCCTAAAGTTGGGAGGGACTCCATATATCTCCTTACCTATATATCTGTATGTATGTATATTTCTACATTTATATGTGTATTTCAACATAAAATATGTTTTATATATTATGTATATATTTTTATATATTATGTTATGTATATTTCTTATGTTGGAATGAACAAATGTTTTTTACTTGTCTTGACCCCTGCTCATATCCAAACATCACATTAGGCATATCCTAAATTTGGCCTTCATGACTATTTTCGACTTTATAATCTAATTAGAGGCTCAGTGCACAGATTCGTGCACATTGAAAGTAAATTAATTAGAAGGTAGCCAGTGGGAGGGAGAAGGGAGTGATTAACCAGTGGGGTGGGACTGGGCGAGACAGGCTGGACACACTCTGGAGCTAACCTCCCCTGGTCCCTCCCCACCGGCTGCACCTGGGGCAGCTCTGGGGCTCGAAGGGCGTCTGCAGAGTGAGCGGGGTCCCTCCGGTAGGTGGGGTCCCTCAGCCTGGCCTGCGGAGATTGGGCCAAAACTGGCTCTCCAACATCCCCCAAGGGGTCCCAGAGTACGAGAGGGCACTCCGCAAAGTTGCTATCGCTTGGCAGCTCCTGCGTTGAGCATCTGCTCCCTGGTGGTCAGTGTGTGTCATAGCTACTGGCCAATCGGCCAGTTGCTTAGCCTTTTATATATATAGATTGGTTACAACTCTAGGATTTGAAGACTGCTCTCTGACACCAATGGATTCTTTTCTGTTAACTGCATTAATTCTTGGCCTTCACAGCCTTCTCAGGAAACATTGCTACCATGCCCAAGATCTTCTTCTCTGTGCCTGGCCCCAGAAGGCTGTGCTGATTGGGAATCAGTTTACAAGTTTGTAGAGGCTTGACAGTTTCTGGGTCCTACTGCTTAGTCATCATGGGTATACCTGAAGCCCTTTGTAGGTTCTGAAATATTGACTGATATTTTGGATAGGAGAAAAACAGGCAAGGGGTGAGTCAATTTCTTGAAACATTTTTAATTGTTTAAAAAACAACAACAAGCAAAGTACTCTAGACTGCTACTTAAGTCAGAGTTTAAACACTGGTGATGCTCAGGTTGGATCTGAGCCATAGACATGTTTGGCTTTTAAATCAATTGCTTTCATTTTTAAAATCTAGAAATTTCACTACATAATCTCCAGACTTTTAACTGCTTTTGCAATTGGGTGATCTGAAAGCACGGGACCTATATTCCTGCACAATTGGCCAGAATGAGATAGTACCTGGCCATTTAGACAGGACATGCACTTAAAAAAATT